GCTGACACTGAGTGCCAGGGAACTTAGAGTGCCAGCGAGACAGCAGGGCTGACACTGAGTGCCAGGGAACTTACAGTGCCAGCGAGACAGCAGGGCTGACACTGAGTGCCAGGGAACTTAGAGTGCCAGCGAGACAGCAGGGCTGACACTGAGTGCCAGGGATCTTAGAGTGCCAGCGAGACAGCAGGGCTGACACTGAGTGTCAGGGAACTTAGAGTGCCAGACAGACAGCAGGGCTGACACTGAGTGCCAGGGAACTTAGACTGCCAGCGAGACAGCAGTGCTGACACTAAGTGCCAGGGAACTTACAGTGCCAGCGAGACAGCAGGGCTGACACTGAGTGCCAGGGAACTTACAGTGCCAGCGAGACAGCAGGGCTGATACTGAGTGCCAGGGAACTTAGAGTGCCAGCGAGACAGCAGGGCTGACACTGAGTGTCAGGGAACTTAGAGTGCCAGCGAGACAGCAGTGCTGACACTGAGTGCCAGGGAACTTAGAGTGCCAGCGAGACAGCAGGGCTGACACTGAGTGTCAGGGAACTTAGAGTGCCAGCGAGACAGCAGGGCTGACACTGAGTGCCAGGGAACTTAGAGTGCCAGCGAGACAGCAGGGCTGACACCTGTCTCTTATACACATCTAGATGTGTATAAGAGACAGCTCCTACATTCTGCCTCGTGCTTCTACATTCTGCCTCGTGCTCCTACATTCTGCCTCGTGCTTCTACATTCTGCCTCGTGCTCCTACATTCAGCCTCGTGCTCCTACATTCTGCCTCGTGCTCCTACATTCAGCCTCGTGCTCCTACATTCTGCCTCGTGCTCCTACATTCTGCCTCCTGCTCCTACATTCTGCCTCCTGCTTCTACATTCTGCCTCCTGCTTCTACATTCTGCCTCGTACTCCCACATTCTGCCTCGTGTTCCTGCCTCCTATAATATAAATAAATAATAATAAACAATGGATAACCAATTAATCGTATTCAATTAAGAATGAGCATTAGGGAGCGTGAGATGTAATTAATTACAAATAATTAAGAAACTAATTGGCTCTTCAGGGGCGGAATGAAGCCCGCGCGATGTGACCATTGGGACAAACAGGGACAAGGGACAGATTGTGGAATATGGGGAATAACAATGATAATAATGCTAATAATAAGAATAATAATTACTATAACAATTATTTACCAACATTTACGGTAAAGAAAAAAAGTAGCGACTGAAGTTCTTTCACTGATATTTGAAAGAATTAGAACCTCAATGTTTACCGTATATGTAGAATCAGAAATATTCATCGCATTTCCTTGCTTCTAATGAATATTTATTAGAACAATTCAGTTCATTGTATATATATCGAAACATGTAACAGACAGTAAAGTTTGCCTCAACTCAATCATATCAAGAAATCATTCAACTTCGTTCTGGTGTTTTCTACACGTGAATTTGTTTCGCATTTGGAGTCGAATTTTGAAAATTAGTTAAAACGAAATTAAAACGGTGAACTGAAATTAATTTTGCATCGCTCTTACAAAATTGATCATTTGATAATTCTGGATTCCTATAGAATATCTCACAGCGTCGACACGCATAAAAATAAATGTATCATATCGTCCAAAAAGAGACACATTTTCTTAGCTACAGCACGAACTGAGAATGGGCGTAGCTCTGCTCACAAGCTAAAGTGGGTAAAGATGACACACATAAAGGCAGAAGTGCATTGCCTTTCTACAAACTTTCTTTCAAATCTCGAATCAAATAACCTTTTTAACAGACAAATCAACCCATATAGTACATGTTTTTTTAATCGTTTCATAAAATATCACGAAATATCAAACTAATAATAAACTAGGTGAACGACTTATATCTATTATGCACGTATAATAAAAAGGTAGAGTAAATAAATAAATAAAAAATCAGTGACAGCAGGGCTGACACTGAGTGCCAGCGAGACAGCAGTGCTGACACTGAGTGCCAGGGAACTTAGAGTGCCAGCGAGACAGCAGGCTGACACTGAGTGCCAGGGAACTTAGAGTGCCAGCGAGACAGCAGGCTGACACTGAGTGCCAGGGAACTTAGAGTGCCAGAGAGACAGCAGGGCTGACAATGAGTGCCAGGGAACTTAGAGTGCCAGCGAGACAGCAGGGCTCTGTGACTCACGGTCCCTTGAATCTCACGGTGCGAGACAGCAGTGCTGACACTGAGTGTCAGGGAACTTAAAGTGCCAGCGAGACAGCAGTGCTGACACTCAGTGCCAGGGAACTTAGAGTGCGAGCGAGACAGCAGGGCAGACACTGAGTGCCAGGGAACTTAGAGTGCCAGCGAGACAGCAGGGCAGACACTGAGTGCCAGGGAACTTAGAGTGCCAGCGTGACAGCAGGGCTGACACTGAGTGTCAGGGAACTTAGAGTGCCAGCTCCTAATTGGATTGCTGACTGAAGTGGCAGCGCTTAACAAAGCTAGAGGACTTGTTTACCACACGTACACACGTGCCTCCTGTTTACCACACGTACACACGTGCCTCCTGTTTACCACACGTACACACGTGCCTCCTCCTGTTTACCACACGTACACACGTGCCTCCTGTTTACCACACGTACACACGTGCCTCCTGTTTACCACACGTACACACCTGCCTCCTGTTTACCACACGTACACACCTGCCTCCTGTTTACCACACGTACACACGTGCCTCCTATTCACCTGGATTTCCATTAGCTCATACATCAGATTTCCATGAACTTACAATTTTAAAGTTCGCGAACTATCAACATTATTACTAGAATATTATCCTTAATTTTGGACACACGTCAACTTACACTTCATCAACACAACTGAACAAATTAATTTCCCCTAAAAATCTTTCAATAGCTGATAAGTTTGATGTTATTGAATTTTTTTATTCATTTTTTAGTTCAATATTAACTAACGTATGTTTTGCCTTCCATTTCGCCGGCGCTCTGAAGTGCGGCGGTCGCACCCGTAGATTGATTGGAAAATTCTCACTGTGACGTCTGAGTGACTTTCTGGCGAGCAAAGCCACGAAGAACGAACAATAAAAATATACATTGAATATTTTCAACCAGTTTTTGCATAAAGTTCAATATTGGTTATTTTTTTACAGATATTTGATATATTTTGGTAGCGAGATATTCGGTTATTAGGAGACATAAACGGGTAACTAAATTATTAATTTGCCTGAATTGTTTAAGGCCTACTCACCCCCTGCTTAGTCCTACTTACCCCCTGCCTAGGCCTACTCGCCTCCTGCCTAGGCCTACTCACCTCCTGCCTAGGCCTACTCACTTCCTGCCTAGGCCTACTCACCTCCTGCCTAGGCCTACTCACCCCCTGCCTAGGCCTACTCACCTCCTGCCTAGGCCTACTCACCTCCTGCCTAGGCCTACTCACCTCCTGCCTAGGCCTACTCACCTCCTGCCTAGGCCTACTCACCTCCTGCCTAGGCCTACTCACCTCCTGCCTAGGCCTACTCACCTCCTGCCTAGGCCTACTCACCTCCTGCCTAGGCCTACTCACCTCCTGCCTAGGCCTACTCACCTCCTGCCTAGGCCTACTCACCTCCTGCCTAGGCCTACTCACCTCCTGCCTAGGCCTACTCACCTCCTGCCTAGGCCTACTCACCTCCTGCCTAGGCCTACTCACCTCCTGCCTAGGCCTACTCACCTCCTGCCTAGGCCTACTCACCTCCTGCCTAGGCCTACTCACCTCCTGCCTAGGCCTACTCACCTCCTGCCTAGGCCTACTCACCTCCTGCCTAGGCCTACTCACCTCCTGCCTAGGCCTACTCACCTCCTGCCTAGGCCTACTCACCTCCTGCCTAGGCCTACTCACCTCCTGCCTAGGCCTACTCACCTCCTGCCTAGGCCTACTCACCTCCTGCCTAGGCCTACTCACCTCCTGCCTAGGCCTACTCACCTCCTGCCTAGGCCTACTCACCTCCTGCCTAGGCCTACTCACCTCCTGCCTAGGCCTACTCACCTCCTGCCTAGGCCTACTCACCTCCTGCCTAGGCCTACTCACCTCCTGCCTAGGCCTACTCACCTCCTGCCTAGGCCTACTCACCTCCTGCCTAGGCCTACTCACTTCCTGCCTAGGTCTACTCACCTCCTGCCTAGGCCTACTCACTTCCTGCCTAGGCCTACTCACTTCCTGCCTAGGCCCACTCACTTCTGCCTAGGCCTACTCACTTCCTGCCTAGGCCTACTCACCTCCTGCCTAGAATATTCTCTAGAAGCCCCAGGCTCGAGGCTCGTTCATGCTAATGAGGCACGGTGTCACCTGCTTAAGCCTACTTAACTTGCAACTTAGGATAAAATTTATTACACAACTCGAACAAGCTAATTAAAGCTGTTGCTTAGCCTCCTCGTCTGACCCGCACATTATCATTTTAATTGGAGAATATAGTTATTACATTAATTTATTCCATTAATTATTGATATAATTTTGAAGCTACATGTTTGTTTTTTTTAAATGAGACTTTCTTTCCTGAAAAACAGAGGTTTCTAATTTTACTGGTTAATTTCTAATCTGTGGAATAAATCTTGAATCTCATGTACGATTCGACCATGAGTCATGAGATTGAAACTTGAAACGTTATATTAATATTTAATTTTAGAGCCAAAACGTGAATTTTAAATTAAGATTCTCTTAAATATGGTGCAATGAAGCTTGGCCCCATTAACTCACTAAATTTGAACAGTCAGAGTGCAAATATCAAGACGCCGAAGCGTTCATTTACAAAAATATTTCTATCATTGGTCTGTTCATTTCGTCACAGAAATATTCCACGACCTATCTCACTTTGATAAAAGATATGATGAGATCTCCGCTGGAAGTGTAATTAGTATCTCTGATGACAACGATGACAATTATTGCTCACAGTGTCATGTTAGGACCAGGTTAGGACCAGGTTAGGGACAGGTTAGGACCAGGTTAGGGACAGGTTTGGACCAGGTTAGGGCCAGCTTAAGACCCGGTTAGGTCCAGGTTAAGGGCAGGTTGGGACCAGGTTAGGGACAGGTTAGGACCAGGTTAAGGACAGGTTAGGACCAGGTTAGGACCAGGTTAGGACCAGGTTAGGACCAGGTTAGGACCAGGTTGGGACCCGGTTACGACCAGGTTAGGGACAGGTTAAGACCAGGTTAGGTCCGGGTTAGGGACAGGTTAGGACCAGGTTAGGACCAGGTTAAGGGCAAGTTAGGACCAGGTTAGGACCAGGTTAGGGACAGGTTGGGACCAAGTTAGGACCAGGTATAAGGACAAGTTAAGGAAAACAACAATTAAGCGATTGTTCGGCACTATAGAGTCACTTACAAGTGTTATTGTAAATTGCAGTTTCCCTTCTTGCGTTCATCAATTAATTTTGTTATAATTTTGGTCCTGAAACTTATAAGTTTCACCTAACATTTCCTTCAGGCATCCATTTTCTGATGAAGTGTTTGATGTGTATAAAAAGTGAATAACAAGAACAGCATAACCAAATGGATTCTACGGCCATGATGAATAAATAGAACGGCCAGGATGAATGCTATTCAGCCATGATAAATAGTACGGCCATGATAAATGCTATTCAGCCATGATGAATAGTACGGCCATAATGACTGCTATTCAGCCACGATGAATAGTACGGCCATGATGAATAGTACGGCCAATATTATGCACACAAATAGCACTTCCAGCTAATCTTAACACTCTCGGATAATAATTGTACCAAATTGTCCACGTATTGACATACTTTCCCACCCACCGAACGAGCAGTGAGTGAACGTACACAGTACACTCCCCTGCCGGGCAAAAGTGGGTCAAAATGAGTCACTCACGACCAGGAAGTGCATCGTTATATGGACAAACTCTCCTCATTTCTCTGGGTGTAAGATGCCATTGTACGCATTACTGAGCTTATTTTTCCGCCCCGACGGCCGCAAATATTCTAATAAAATTGCCTCGATTGCGAATTGAACCCGCGGGCCTCAGACAAAAGAAATTCGTCGAGGTGAATGATCCCGAGCAAATGTAATGGTTTATGAAGAAAATTTTCATTCGATATTTTGTTGCAATCTGACAACGTATTTATGAACATTATATGCCTAATGAGAAACTTTTTGTTCGTTGTTATTGATCGTATTGCAATCTAATAAAATGTTACGGGGAATCCAATACCCAATGATTACCTTTTACTTTCGGTATATTGTGGCAATCTGACAGCGTATTTTTGAAAATTATATGCCTACTGAAAAATTTTTTGTTCGTTTTTATCGATTGAATGGCAATCTGATAAGTATCAAAGGAAATTCAATGCCAATGACGGACTTTTACATTCGGTATTTTATGGCAATCTGACAACGTATTTATGACATTATATGCCTAATGAGAAATTTTTCATTCGTTTTTTTTGCGATCGTATGACAACCTAATAAAATATTGCGGGAAATTCATTACCCAATGATAAACTTTTACATTCGGTATTTTGTTTCAATTTGACAGATTAATTACTTAAATTCATATGCCTGATGAGAAACTTATTGTTTGTTGTTATCGATCGTATGGCAATCTAATAAAGTATTAAAGGAAATTCAATACACAATGACAAACTTTTACAGTCGGTATTTTGTAGCAATGTGACAAATTATTTAATTAAATTTCTTATGAGATTTCTGCCTTCAGCAGTTTGTATTGGAGGTCAGCTTGTCTCAACGAGCAATATATGGAAGCCAACGATGATGAACGAGTGCCATCATTCCAATACTTGGCCAAATGACATTCATTGAAATTCTAAACGACCATCTTGAATATTTCTTGCAAAACGAAAATGGTCATAGATGTTATGAAGAATATAGATGTTATGAAAGTTATAGATATTATGAAGAATATAGATGTTATGAAGGTTATAGATGTTATGAAGAAATTTCGTTCTATTAGAGGTTTTTGACGTCCATCGAAATTTTTGCGCAGCAGATAATCATCGTGATTATTTATTTTATTTATTTATTTGTTTTCTTGTAATGATAGTATTTAAAAGGTAAAAGTTTGCCTAATTCCAAAAATGAGACAAAAATTTTAAAATTGTTCAATATGATTCTAGAAATACATGAATAAAATTTAATGTGACCAATGAATTACTTGTATCTCGTTTGTAACAGACTTAGACTTGGCCAGAAAAATCATCGGATCACTTTGTCCAAATTTTTTGTGGACAATACTAAAATGAGTCAATTTTCAGAAAGTGACACATATGAGCTAAAAGTCCATCACTATTTGGACACAACCTCATTCATTTTTTAATGACACGAGTTCAGTTATAATCACATACGAACATTTAGGACACGTGCATGTATACCGGCCTCGTGTACACTCAAAAAACTTAATGGTCGAGGCCATTCACAGCCGTGATTGGCCTAACTTGAGAGCACCAGCCCAACTTGAGTGCGAGAACTTAGCATCATAGAGGAACTTAGCGCAATTCTCTGTCGGCTTCCTTGTAAGTGTGTTGCAGAGCAGCGTGATGTCCTGCCAGAGATTGATGCTGTCACAGAGACATGGCTACATCTATTTCATATAATAATACAATATTATGTTCATGGAATAATTTGGATATAAGAGGAAATTAAAACCACAGTAGCGTTTTGCAAAAATTTTTGGTAAAAGAATTTCTTAGATCTTAAAAGCTGCAAAAATAATTTCCGTAGTAGGAAACTATTAGAAATTTAATTAATAAATGAGTAATGAGCAAATGGAGACCAACCAGAATCGGAAAGCAAAATGTGACATCTCAGACGCTTGTTGTTTGAAGTCATATATCTCCTCAGCTAATTGGTAAGCTTTGTCTCGCTACTGAAAAACAGCCTTAAGACCGTAAATAAATACGTAATGACCGTATAAAACAGCCGCAATAGCCGCAAAAACAGTCGCAATCGGTAAAATTGCGATGCAAAATAATCGATATAATTGCGATATCAGCTTTCATTTCCGTCACACGCGTTGAATTTTTTGCCACATGACTGCAGAGTGAATCGTCGCCATTGAACTAAATTATTAAAACTAAATGTGAGATGTGAACTAAATATGTAAGTCTGCCAGCCACATGGCAGCAACAGAGAACTAGATCAGTAAGCCCTGCAGAGCAGACGTAAGTGTGCAGCGCCTCGCCAACAAGGCCATTATTTGTTCTGGCAAGTCAGCATAAGTCGCAGCTTCTTTTTCGGGCAGCGCTCACATCTCGCATGTGGAGGATAACCTTTTTACCCTTTCAGTAATATTTTGGTAAATTCATAAATATTGTTGCGAATAGCACCAATTGTTTTGTAAGGCTCATAAAACAAAATAAATGATTGGAGATGAACTCACGGTCGTTTTATGGCCGGTAGGGAGTGGTTAAATTGATGCGTTTTTTAATACGGAATATTTTCGAACATATTTAGCATGGAAAAGAAGGTACTAAAGATAATTTCCGATATACTATATATAAGCATGGAATGGGTCGTAGTTAATGTAATTTACGGACATTTTTGGGATATGAAGTTATCGGTAGGAATAATTTCCGAAGATTCGCGCGAATTGCGTCTTTTATTCACGAGCGTTCCTGGCTTCCTAGGAGATATGGTGGCTGAGAAAAAATGCCTTCGCTAACATAACGCCAACACTTTGTCCTCACTGAATAATGCATTCATTGTCTTGTGCTTGCAAGCTCGCTATAAACAATAAAAGGTTTGATATATTTTGACTTTTATTATGCCCATTTCAAAATGAATGTGTGTAAGGACGAATGTTTCTCCTGTTTTTATGGGGTAGCAGGAACGTCGTGGGTTTTCACTGCACAAGGCTGAGTTTACGCCGCAATAAATTCTCATTATTACCAAGGCCGAGAAATAAGGAAATTAGGATCAGTTCTTTCTTATGACACTCATCGTAAGGATTTAAAATGTCTGGGGGCTATTACAACACCTTATCTCCAGCAGCCCGCAGGAATGCCTGGGCTACTGCAACATCTTAGCTCCTGCAGCCCATATGGAAGAATGGGCTACTGCAACACCTTAGCTCCTGCAGCCCGCACGGATGCCTGGGCTACTGCAACACCTTAGCTCCTGCAGCCCGCACG